ATACTTGAGGATAACTTGATAGAAAATGGGGTAAAAACTGACGTACACCCTTGCATGTTGAAGCACTATAAGACCTTTAGTAAGTATTCTTCTGATAAAGCCAAACATTCCTATCTTTTATGTTCCAGTGTATTTGTGTCCCTAAAATCTTGTTTGTTGGTCCCTAGTTCTTCATATCAGACTTTTAGCCAATTGTTCCTTCAAAACTTGGATTCAAACTTTGTTGGAGCCTACTATCAACATGTCATCCACATACAACGACAAAATGATAAAATCATTCTCATCAAATCTATTGTAATAGGTACAATAGTCTGAACTTAGTCTATAGTAATCAAGGCTAATCACGAAGAATCAAATCTTTTGTGCTAACACCTGGATACCCGGTTTAAATCGTACAAAGATTTGGTCAACCTGCAAATCAAGTTTCTTTTTTCTTTAAGTCTTCTGGTTGGAGCATACAAATCCTTTCTCTAAGTTTACCTTGAAGAAAAATAATATTTGTATCATTACTAATAATAACCTTGTGGATAGTGCGATCCACAGGAAATACTCCTTCACATTATTAGCATAGTCCAATAATTTTCCTTTCCCGAACTTTGAAAACACAAACTTCCTCTTGATGCGGTACACCCATAATCTCCTGGAGTAATCATTGTCATCACTGATACAAAATATTTGGCTCATCCTTGAGATAACACCGACGATTCTATTACATTATAATAAACAAACTTTAATATGTGTTTCCTATTGGTACATCATAATATGCACCTTTCACTATGAATAGTAGCCTATTGGAACAATAGCATAAACTCTAACTAGAGTTAGGTCCTTCTGAGGGGGCTAACAATAAGAAGATTATCACAAATGGAACCCGAGCCAACCATATAAGAGAAAATGACATCACTCTCAACCTAAAACCTTAAGGCATTAGGTCATAGATCTTTCTCACTTATAAGTTACTCAACTTTCCCATTTCTACCCAAAGTGGGATTTCAAACTCACACTTGAATTATCAACATCTCCCCCTCAAGTGTGATTCCCTTTCATATTGATATACGTCCTCCTTGAGGGAAAATATTTATTAGCCATGAGTACCTAGTAGTGACCTTACTTATATCGTCGTTCAAGTTGACACTACAAAAAATATTGAAATTACTGATAGTCAAAATCCGTCGGAAATTAGGTTGTCGGTAAATATTACCGACGGATTTAAATAGTTCGTCGGTAATTACAGACGCATTTAAATATTTATTAATATTTATTATGATCAGATTAATTTCCCCCATTATATTTTTATAACTTTAAATTATTATCGATTAAAGGAATTATCATTGGCAAGATTCGAATTCAATACCTTAGAATTAGAAGTCGATACTCCAACCACTAAGCTACTAAAATTTTTCGATAATAATTTACAAATAAATTATATTTATATACAAATATATTTATATATATATATATATATTTATATAATTAAATATTTATTTTTTAAATTATTTAATTTAATACATTATTATAAATTAATCTAATTATGATTAAATTAAATTAGTAATCTAATTATGATTAAATTAAATTATTAAATAAAAAAATATTTAATTTTTTAATTAGGTGAATAATTAATTTATTAGAATATATTAGGTAATTATTATATAATTTTCGGTAATTAATTATTAATTTATCAATGGATTTACTTGACGGAAATATTCGTTGGTAAATAATTGTTAATTTACCGACGGATATATTCGTTGGTAATTAATTGTTAATTTATCGACGGATTTCTCGACAAATATATCCAGTCGGTAACTAATTATTATTTTACCGACGGATATATCCGTCGGTAAAACCAAAATCTATATCTGTCGGTAATTTTCGTCGATAATGACTCATTTTCCGAGGACCACTAATCCGTCGGTAAAAATCCTTCGAAAATATGCGATTTTCTTGTAGTGCGAGACTCGCTTGCTTGAAACCCTTGTCAATAAGACTTTCAACACAAAGACCTTTCACCTACTATAATTGTACTCAACTGATCCAGTCACCGGATAAACTATCGGCTTTGATACCACTGTTAGGAATCGAGTAACTACATATGAACTCACAAATAAAGTAAAAGATGAGAAAAGAAAAACAAAATAGACAATAGACAATAATAAAATTTTACTATCGAAAGAAATTACAATATCTTCTTTAAATTTAAGGAGAAAACAATAATAATATTCTCTAAAGAATAAAAGAACTTAACTACTATGTAATGCATTAATAAAAAAAGAAAAAAAAATTTGAGATAATTTACAAAATAAACATTGTACTCCTTTTATAACAAAAAAAAAGTAAACATCACCATGTAATTTATTTTAATATAAAACTTCTCTTCTCACGTAATAAAAAAAATAAATAATGTTTTCTCTAAGCAAAATCTCCCACTTTAAAAGCATAATCACAAACTATATATTTTTTTAAGATTTACTTAATGCAAGATTTACTTTAAATATTATACACTTATATCTAAACTATATTGAAATATTATAATAGCAGAAATAAATAACATAAAATAAAGAAATATAGTAATAAAAAGAAAACACTTATTAGTATGTCAAATCAATATTATTTTGTTCTTTTGTTATTAAGAAAGGTTAATAAATTAAGTCTGCCACCCATTTATTCGACAAATGCGGAAATGTTTTGTTATTTTTGTTCTTATTTTGTGTGTGATGAAAAAAACAAAACAAAAGGAAAAGGAAAATAAAAATAAAAATACAACAATAATATAAGGCACAGGTTCCAGTGGCATATGACATAGACATAAGACATATCATGTGCCGTTTTAATAAATTAGCGCTATTAGGCGTTCACGACATTATGATCTCAAAAAATAATATAGCAAATGACAAATCAGGAGATAACTTATAATAATAATAATAATAATAATAATAATAATAATAATAATTATTATTATTATTATTATTATTATAATATAACTTTAAATTATATTTAGTAGAGGACAATTTGCATAATATTATTTCTTTCTAAAACTTACATTTGATTAAAAATAAAATTAATAACAAAATATAGTATAAAAATAAGAAATAGTATATTAATATTAAAATAATATTTCTATATGATACGAATAAATATATGTTATAAAAAATATTTTAAATATATTTTTTAAGACTATCTTTTTCATTTATATATATATAATTATAATTTTTAATTCCTTTTTTATTGTTATTTTGATTATATTTATATATACATAATTATATGTAAATATAGGACATATAATTAATATAAAGAAGTCAAACTTTACATAATGATTTTTTTATTTATATTTTAACTTATTTTTATTGCAAAATATAGTAATAAAAAATTATGTTTTCTAAAATTTGAAGGAAAATTCTAGATAAAAATTAATTAAATTTATTCTTAATATAAATCATTTTATAAAATAATAATAAAATTTTAAATTAAATAAAAATATTACTTTATTAATATATATATATATTATAAATTTTAAATTAATTTGATAATATTTTAATAATAAATATAAAAATATTTTTTTAATATCTAATAATTAAAATAAATTATTATTTTAAATTTTTTATTATTTATTTTTCTTCTTCTTCCTCCGACTTTCTAAAATTTAATAAAATAAATTTTATTAAAATTCCCAAACAGGATTCAATTCTTATTTTCCTTCTTCCCGCAATAAACCATGGGCGAGGCTTTATTTCAAGAGCAGTGCTACGTTAACAGTTGCAAAACAAATATCTCCTATACAACCTGTTTTTATTAATATAATAATTATAATTGACTTAATACAAAAATAAAAAAATAAAAAATTATTATTATTATAATATTAAAATAAACTATATATTGGATGTTTGTACAAACCGTGTCAAAATATTTTTTTCCTTATTTGATAGCAGAATGGACTTTTCTCTGTGTAGTGCCATGCCATCAATGGACGTTTCTACGCTTGTAATAGGACAAATGACACATAATCATGATGTATTTTTTTCATCATGCATGGATTTCTACACCAAACAATTATTTCGTATTCAAAATGATTTTATGCATGGTTATGCTGAATATTCATTTTGGATTTTGGTTTTGGTCCTTCTTGTTCTAAAGATGAACATGCTACTCATCAACCTCCAATATACAACCATCCCGACGCATGAAAGAAAGAAAAGGACCTATTTCAAATTAAAAAAAAAAAAAGTTCATGTTTTATGTTTTATTTTAGTTCGTGAGACGTAACAAATACATGAATATCTCATGAAAAAGATTACCAACTAGAAATATGTCATTTGACGTATACAATAATATTATTATTTAATGTTATTCTGGTTTTATCTTAATATATTAACGTTAAAGTTTGATGTTTTTTACAAACTAACAGAATGTACCATACGTTTTTAAGAATAAAAATGACATTACTTTAACTAACAACCTTCGATTATCATTAATTTGAGTAAAATGAGAAAGATATTTGAAATATATAGCTTTGATTCAACCTTTAGAGTATATGCGTATGAGACTCATTTTAAAAGAAAATGGGAAGGCTCTGGAAAATAAATCAGATAAAGATCTCTATCAACATTAACCTTCTACCTACTAAACCTTGAGCCTCGTCCATGTTGCCCATAAATATTTATAAAACAAAAAAAAAAATCATAAATTAATTTTATACACAAACTAATTTTACTTTATAAAGATATTGTTATTGTTTTAGTTGTTTTACAAGTATTTATGAAAAATAATTATAAAACATATTAAAGAATTTGTACTCCATATATCTCCTTTCTAATTAACTAACTGATGTGATAGATAAATAATAAAAAATACATAAATATTAGAGTAAAGTAATATAATAGAAAGATATAATAAAACCAATTTCACAGAGATTGAGAGAAAGAGAGCCATGCCATGTCCCATTTGCTATAAATATAGTCTGTCTGACACGGCCAGATGTGGTTGAAGAAAGAAATGGGTCTCAAACAATGGCCTTATACGAACAAATGAAAGGAGTCTTCACTTCTACCTTCTATCTCTCTCTTTCCTTTTTCATCACTGTAATTCTCGTCTTGTTTAAGCTTGCAAGAAGCTCCAAACCCAAATCCAATCTGAACCTTCCTCCATCTCCCCCAAAGCTACCATTTATCGGGAATCTGCATCAGTTTGGCACACTGCCACATCGATCTCTTCGAGATCTCTCTCTCAAATATGGTGATATGATGATGTTGCAGCTGGGGCAGATGCAAACTCCAGCCCTTGTGGTTTCATCTGTAGATGTGCTCTCGGAAATAATCAAAACTCATGACCTAACCTTTTCGGACCGACCCCAAAACACTGCTGCAAAAATCTTACTCTATGGATGCGCAGATGTTGGCTTCGCACTCCACGGAGAAAACTGGAGACATAAAAGAAAAATATGTGTGCTTGAACTCCTGAGCACCAAAAGGGTGCAAGCATTTGGAGTCATCCGGGAAGAAGAAGTTGCGGAGTTGGTGAACAAGCTACGTGAAGCAAGCTCGAATGGTGCAAGTTACGTGAATCTAAGTGAGATGATTATGTCAACATCAAATAATATTGTGTGTAAATGTGCTCTTGGAAGGAAGTTTGAAGGAGATGATGACAACAGAGTGAAAGTGTTAGCGAGGGAAACTATGATTCATCTCGCAGCATTCACAGTGAGAGATTATTTCCCTTGGCTGGGTTGGGTTGATGTTGTCACTGGAAAAATTGAGAAATACAAGGCCACTGCTGGAACAATGGATGCTTTATTTGATGAGGCAATTACAGAACGTTTGAGGGCGAAAAGGGAAGGTGAACACTCCAAAAGGAAAGACTTCGTGGATATCCTCCTCCAACTTCAGGAGGATAACATGCTGGGCTTTGAGTTCACCATGAATGACGTCAAAGTACTTGTAACGGTATCTTTTTTCTCCCATCATTTATGTCATTGTTACCAAATTTATTTCCCCAGTCTCTACAACAAAATACATACATTTCACTCCAAAATATATGATGCAATTGATACTGTTATTTTCATGTAATAACACTACTTCCTCCCATGTGACCTACGTATTTATTTATTCACGAGAAGTCGGAGGGTCAATAAGAACTTTGAATTCCCTTATGGTTCCAAAATCAAAACTTTTACTAGACTGGATTGTGTTACGTGAACCGAATGTTTACAGTTACAACTGTGTTAGGAATCACAATTTTAAATATTAGTAGAAGGATTTTAGTGGTTTGATTTAAAAATAAAATAAAAACGTGTTACAGGTTACACGAGTTTACCATTAATTTCTTTTGTTGAACTCGTATTACCTAATACGAGTTATTTTAAAAATATATATAAATTTAGATAATTTACATTATAACTTCTATCTCCATTTTATTTTGAATATCTTTGATCGCATATTAGTACGGGGGAAAAAAATTTAATATATTATACATCTCCAAAAGTTAATGTTGAGCTCGTGCTGTTTAGAATTTTTTTTTAATTCAAACAACTAAAATTGCTAGTGTAAAATTATGAATCTAACAATTTTAATATATCAAAATCGATTCACGATTTAACTCAATTTTTTAATAAAATTTTAAATTTTTTACCACTTACATAAATTCAATTTTTTTTACCGTGATAAAAAAGCCTGAGAAATTTTATACTGACAACTCCCATAATAATAAAATTTTAAATTTTTTACCACTTACATAAATTCAATTTTTTTTACCATGATAAAAAAGCCTGAGAAATCTTATACTGACAACGCCCATAATAAAAAAAATCTAATAACATCTCATTTTATTAGTTTTATAATAATTATTATTTTATTATTAAAAGAAGTTGTTGATTAGATATTTGAAAAGAATTAGGGCGTTTATAATATGTATTACAAAGATACTTCCAACAATATCTCATTTTCTCTGGCATTTTCATTGTCTTTATCAGATCTATCATAGCATCCAACTTTTATATATTGATTGACTTATTTTAGATCTTTCTATATTTTTTTAATAACAGGATTTGATTTGCTTAAACACAAAAATCAAATATGTATACACGTAAAGAAAAATTAAACAAATAAGTTATGAGGAGAAAAAGTAAAAACTCCTTACACAAAAAAATAACCATAAATATGCCACCTATTATACAAAATTCCATTATATATATCCACAAAAACCAGTTACATCCAACTCTGCTTCAAAAGAATTATCTAAATATATATAATCAATCACTAACTGGTGTTGTTTATTATTTGGGACTTATATCCTTGTAATTTCATATTAAGCCAATATTTTTTTATTTTTCTTTTAATAAAAAATTAATTATATTTTTCCAAATTGTTTTTTTTTTAACAATTTTCATCTTGAAATTATTTTGGATTTAGTGATTTTAATTGTTGAAAGATAGAGTTGATAGTAATTTTCAAGTTGATAAATATAAAAGGGTTTTAGTTGAAAGTTGTTAAAAGTTTGATGAAAATTTCATTTGTTAGTTTAGGACATGTTTGTGGGAGGTACAGATACAACTTGGGCAGCATTAGAATGGGCTATGTCAGAGCTTCTGAGAAAACCAACCGCAATGAAAAAGGTGCAAGAAGAAGTGGGAGAATTGTAGGTGAGAAATCAAACGTGGAAGAGAACGATGTGAATCAAATGCGCTATCTAAAATGTGTAGTAAAAGAAAGTATAAGGTTACACCCTCCAACTCCTCTTCTGGCTCCTCGAGTAACAAAGTCCGATGTAAAACTAAATGGCTACGATATTCCAGCAAAAACAACTGTATATATCAATGCATGGGCAATGCAAAGGGATCCTAAATTTTGGGAAAATCCTGAAGAGTTTCTGCCAGAGAGATTTGAAAATAGTGAAGTTGATTTTAAGAGTCAAGAAGACTTCCAGTTTATTCCATTTGGTTTTGGAAGAGGAGGATGTCCTGGAATGAATTTCGCAATCGCTTCCATTCACTATGTCCTTGCTAATCTTCTTTATTGGTTCGATTGGAAGTTGCCTACTGATGCACCAGATATAGATATGAACGATATGTTTGGACTTGTTGTCTCAAAGAAACTACCACTTCTCGTTAAACCAAAACCCTTTTCATTTTAATGTGGTTCTTATTATATTATATGTTTGGTCTCCCATTATGAAATAATGTTATCATCTTATTAATAAAATGTGATTTAAGGACTAACAGAATCTCTCCCAAAAGAAATCATATTACAAATAACGGATAAAGATGAAAAAAATTATCATTTCCACTAAAAATAATAAAATATATTTGTTTATGGTAATAATACTGTGAAAGTCAATTTTTATGTCGAGTATTATATATTTAAAATTTTAATTCATTACAATTTTATTTTTAAAATATATATTAATGAATTTAAAGAAATATATATATATATATATATATATATATATATATATAAATTATTCTTAATTTTAATTATGATATAAAATAAGTAAGTATATTTGAAGAAAAACTTTCGTTAAAAATTAAAATTAAGATATAAAATATGTAAGTATATTTGAATAAAAACTTTCGTTAAAAATTAAAAAATGTAATTATAATGAAACTGAAACGTTTTTTAAAAATAAAATCAGAATTAAAGTTTTAAAATAAATAATATCTTATATATAAAATTTTATTAACGAATAATATTATTAGACGAAAGTATCTTATTTTTAGAGGAAAATATTATTAAAAAACTAAAATAATGATCTATAGCTTTTGAACTTATTTTTTTCTTACATGACATCACAACGAGACGAAATGATTAAATTTGTTTGAAAAAAAAAGAAAGAAAGTTGACATTAATGTTATACCAAAGTTTAACATTTCTTTTTATCAAGTCTCTCAACTTTAATAATATTAGAGGGAAGTTTTTAAAGTTACGAAAAATTACTTAAAAATAAAAATAAATATTTTATTATAGATTTTATATTTGATATATTTAAAAATAAAAAAATTATTTAAAATAAAAAATTATTTATATAAATTATTTTAATCAAATTTTAAATAACTCAATTATAAAATATTTAATTTTATTTTAAAATAACTTTTATTAAAAATTCCTTTTACAAATCTTACCTTTTTGACTACCACACCTTATATATTCAGCAACTAATCAAGCTCTCTTCTGTTCTGAGTGGAGTATATTCAATGGCAAGTGACTCAAATTCAGAAAGTATTTGCAATAAGTGGTGGTCGTGCAACTTGTTTTTCAGCCTCACACCACTTTATGGATTTGTGGCTACAACCATCCCATCCAAATCCCAACCCACTCTGCCGCCGCCCACAGTCTCCATCAGAAAAAAAAATTCTTGATTGATACATCATATATATATATATATATATATATATATATATATATATATATATATATATATATATATTATTAATAAAAAATTATTTATTTATTTTTTATACATATTTTTATATTTTATTTTTCATATTATATAATTTTTAAAATTTTAAATTATAATTTTATTTTTCATATTTTAATAACTGTTTTTTAACCGTTTTATAAATTGTAAATTTTAAATATTTTTAAAATTATATATTTAATATTTTAGCCTGCTTTTATAATTTTTTTCAAAAAGAATAAACTCGTAGACATATTAACACCTTCCACAATTAATTAATTATCAATATATTATTTTTAAATAGTTTAATGTAAAAGTAAATTTAATAGGATAATGTATTTTGTTGTGCAGGTTCCAATAATTACTACCTTGCAGTAAAATTTACTTTAGTCACAGTTACTCCCATGTTAATGAGACGTGTTTTAGTTGGATTTGAATAAAGAGTCATTAAAATAAATATTATATTTATTATTTTTTTATAAATGTTAATAAATTGTCTTAAATTTGCAGATCACAACATGACTTGTCGTGTATGGAGCACTAAATTCAATTAAAATTTGTAAAAGAATTAATACAACATTTAAGGTGTTGTAAGCTTTTGGAGTTTAAAAGTCTATGAAAAATTTATCCTTATATAATATTTAATGAATATAAAAAAATAAAAAATTATAGAAAGATCTTCAACTTTGAATGTATCAGAATATTATAATATTAGATTTATTACGAATAATTAAGATTAAAATATTTAACTTAAGAAAGTTATTTTTTTAAATTTCATGATTTTTCTAGAGATTAATTATGAGATTAAATAATAATAGTTGAATAGATCATTCACGAACCAACTTAATACGCGAGTGTACGCTTTTATAATATTTTATGCTCGTTTGATGTGAACTAGATCTAAAAGTCAAATCCTATAAATTTGGCAACCCTCAAAATTAAAACTCTATAAACTATTCTAAATCCAGAACTGATCTTATCCCATTCTTATGAGAGTAGATTTCTTCGAGGAAAAAAAACAAAACGATGTCTTAAAGATATTTTATTGCATAACTTGTGAATCATGCACGGATGTTTAATTGTTCCGTAATCACATGTGACTTCTAGCCAAAGAATTGGATGGGAGTATGATATAATTCTTTTAGACATGGTCATGGCTGAAGGAGAATATTGTTGAATTTTATAACACATTTACACGACTCCATGCTGTTACACAAGAATTTGGAATAGAAGAAGTTATATGAATTTTTATTGATTTCAGCACAACACAAAGGCATGTTGACTGATCCAATACATCCCAATTTGGAAGCTTGACAAAGCACTCAGATGTAATTTTTCTCAGTTTTCAGTCATTCTTTGTTTAAATATATATAATTTATATTTCATTACATTTTCAGCAATTCATAAAAGAATATTTGAATACATCATGTTAACATAAACTTTTGGTCTACCTATAAAGATTTAGAAAATAGATTCAATAAACCAAACGTTGAACAAGAATCAACAAGTTATTATAAATATTTCATATTAATTAGCATATACAATCCAAATCATATCTTAATCTCGTTTTCATTATTTTTAATGTTAATCCTTATAAATAATACCCCTTTGTTTCTCACTCGAAAATAACTCTATGAACACAAATAACCCTCGAAATTGAAGATAAACAGAACCAAGAATGGGACTGAAATGGTTTACAGCATGGTTTAAATAATCAAAATGATAGAAACAAATCAAGTTGGGTACCCACTTTTTTGACAAAATGCCCAACATCTTATTTCTTCTAGTAGGAGATATCTATGTACGTAAACAATAATATCATATTTAACAGGATAAACCTAGAGTTAGATGCCTAAACGTATAAAACACTGTAATTTAATATTTGAAAAAACCATCATTTTTATTTTTTTTCCTGAATTGTACATGTTGAGAATAACGTTTTTAAATATATGCCATAAATATAATTTATAATATGTTTTTGGCATTGCTATGACCATAACAAAAAGAAACCCCAATTTCATTTAATAGTAAAACATAATTAAACATGAAATTTTATCAATGCAAATTCAACCAATAAATAGGACACAGATCAACTTATCTACTTTTTAAGTTATTTACCTAATACTGAACATTTTTAACTTCCATCATTTTCAGTTTTTCAACTGTATACCAATCTTCCACCTCACCCAAGTAATTTCAAATATCAGTAACAGTTGTTATATCACTTGTAGAATGCAACAAACGTTTTTCTAGTCATCATTGTCATCTTTTATCGACATATACTAAAATGTATTGTATGACTTACAATTTATTTTTGAATTTTTTTCTTTCATAAATTATTTCTATATTTTTTTTATTGTTCTTAAACTAAATTCTAATTTTTCTTTTTAAAATAAATGATTTTTTCGATATATAGATTTTAAAATAACAAAACTTAAAATAAAAAAGGAGAAATACTAATTAAATTATAATAACTACTGAGATTTTCATGTATTAGTGGTTGAACAACATCATTAAACGCCCACAAAGAAAAAAACGAACACAATATTTCAATAAGGAAATATGCATCATAAATTTGAAAAGAAGGAATAAACAAACACAAATATATAGAACATGATGATAAAGATTACATTCTTTTCCAGAATGATGAGTTGTCACAAAATGTAGTTGAAAAAAGAAAAGAGATTTAGTTGAATGTGTACAAATATTTGGTGATAACTGTGTACATAAGAATTACTTGAGACTTTTTTTTTTTTTTTTCTATAACGCGAACGTGATTATTAAGTAGTAAGAAATTTATAAAGGTATAGCTGTCGCAGTGGTTGTATCACTCGTTTCATTTAATTATTTTGTTGAATATAATGTTTTGATGTGGTTGGTTCAATTCTAATTAACAGCGGAAAATTTATTGGTACTTCCACTCACGACAGAGAAATGTCACTCGCAAAGATATGCTGCGGATCGTGATACAGAATAACATGTGCGGTGGAATTAATGTTCAGCTAAATAAAAATATAACAAATATTGAGTAACTTTTTTTCATAAATAATACTCTTTTTAGAAATATTTTTTAAAATAACACATTCGAAATATTATTTACACAACTAATACTGTTTATTGTTCACGTATTAAAATAATTGATTATTTTATATTATGATCGATTATTTCGCGCAATCAATTCTCGCTCAAGCGAATACACCCTTCGCTTGAGCGATGAAATCTGTAACAAAGGGGTAATCTCGGGTCAATTCTCGCTCAAGCGAATAAACCCTTCGCTTGAGCGAGGAAATCTGTAACAAAGGGTAATCTCCGGTCAATTCTCGCTCAAGCGACGGGTATTTTCGTTTGAGCGAGAAGTGATTAAAATATGTGGTGACCCAAGTTGCGTTATCTGGCTAACTGCGTTGGACGTTTAGTCCATGGTCAATTCTCGCTCAAGCGATAAGTTACTTCGCTCAAGTGAGAATTGATGGGGTAACTGCGTTGGACCGTGGTCAATTCTCGCTCAAGCGAGACATCCATCACTTGAGCGAAGAAATTTATAATCGATTATGATTTTAACTAATCGATCATAATTTTAAAATAATCGAATATACAAAATTATGATCGATTATTTCGCTCTCGCTCAAGCGAAGAAACTCCGCTTAAGCGAAAAACACATTAGATAGCGGTTCTAGAACTAACCATTATTAAAAGTATATTTTAGATAGCGGTTAACGTGAAACCGCTATTATATGTTTACTTTTAAGAGCGGTTAAAGTGGAACCGCTATTATATATGGGTCACTTTTAATATCATATATGTGTAACTTTTAAGAGCGGTTAATATTTTAACCGCTCTTAAAAGTGAACATATAATAACGGTTCCATGTTAACCGCTATCTAAAATGTACTTTTAATAGTGGTTAGTTCTAGAACCGCTATCTAATGTGTTTTCCGCTTAAGCGGAGTTTCTTCGCTTGATTAGGCAGCTCCTGCAGAATGAGTTTCTTCAAAACTTTTCACAAAACTTTCTAAGTTATTTTAATTGATAACAACAAGTTTTAATCGATTAAAATAGTTAGCAAAAATTTCCTTAAATAACCTTTGACTTCATCAAACCCACAAGATCTTTGTTTTATCAAATGATCCAATAAGATCTTCATCACTTTCAATTAATTGAAAAACTCATAAGTTTCATACATTGAGACATTTCTTAACTAACACAATCTAATGATGCGAAGTAGATGCACATGTAACATTGGGACATGTTCTTCTGCTATGACCAGGGGTATGACAATATGAACATTTTTTAATCCTACTTTAATTTCTGTAATGTCCATCTCAGTTCTTATAAGACTTGATTTTGGTCGGCCCTTTGAAGTTCTTTTCATTTCTGGATTTGCACACCAATATTCTTCATTTCGCAATAACAAAAATTGTGTTCTGTATACCTTTGAAACTTGTTGTAAGGTATACATTGAATTAATATAGTTGTTGAAGTCATGGTGTGCATGCTTACATGCAGCAAGAACATGTGAACAAGGCATGTGAAATTTTTGGAATTTCCCACAGTCACACCATAACTCATCAAGGTGAACTGCAAACTTCCCTGCTAGTCGAACTTCACGCGGGTTTTGTGTTTCTTCTACTACAAATTTTGTGGTAGACCTGTCAAACGTTATGACCCTATGCGTGTTTGTCTGTGTTTGTGCTTCCTCTAAATTTTTTACCAAAATTTCAGAGTATACATGACCAGCATTGATCATGGCATCTATCTGACTCCCTCTTTCAATGAAAAATTTGTTGCAAAAAGTGTACGTTGCAGTGACCATGGAGCAAATAGGTAAATTTCTTGTTTTTTTTTAAAACAGAGTTGATAGACTCTGCTATGTTGGTCGTCATGTGGCCCCAACATCGTCCATTGTCCCATGCAAGTGCCCATTTTTCTCTAGGTATCTCATCCAACCAATTAGCTGCTTTTATGTCACATTGCCTCAAGATGTTGTAATAATAGTAAAATCGTGGTTAAGTCATCCCATACGCTACAACAATATTAAAAAAATATAGTTAATATAAATATTTATTAGCAACAATTAAATAATGAATAAATTGTAACAAATTTGAAGCAAAAGAATTACCCATATTTACAACATCTTTCCTCAGTGCGGTGTTTTTGAAACATCTCATAAAATTCTGTGCAATGTGTTTAATGCAGTAGACATGCATTAAATTATTTTCTGTCCATCCGCTTCCATTTCTCATGTATGCACTTCTAATGGATTCATGTCGGTCTGATATGAGGCATAATCCTTGTTGGGGTGTGACATATCTTTGAAGGTTTTTTAAGAAAAAAAACCAGGCATCACTTGTTTCACCTTCAACCACTGCAAACACAATGGGGAGGATGTTGTTGCGGTCATCTTGTGCTACTACAACCAACAAGGTACCTCTATATTTTCCATACAAAAAAGTTCCGTCCACTTGAAGAATGGGTTTGCAGTGAACAAATCCATCTATGCATGACCTAAACGACCAAAACACATGTTTAAAAATATTTGAATTTTGTTGAAGGACTTCACCTTGGTAAGCTGGTTGTGACTGCAGTTTGTAGATGAATCCGGGAACAAATTGTTGCATCGCTTGTAACAAACAAGACAATTTCTTATACGAATCCTCCCAATTGCCGTAGATGATCTCCACTGCCTTTTGTTTTGCCAACCAGGCCTTCCTGTATGTTATAGTGTAACCCGTTGTTAATTGGATGTGGGCTATGATTGTGGAGATTGGTGTTGACGAATCAACATCAATTATTTGACCAATTGTTTGGGAAATCATTTTATATCCCAACTTGTTGTGGTCTTGGCTGATTAATGGCGAAACGAATGTATGGTGCCCTTCAAGCTTCATAATCTCCCAATATTGCTCTCTTGTGCGCAATATTGCTCGACATCTCCAATTGCATTGATTATCAACACATTCAACAACATATCTACTTTGGTTTGAAATTTTCACCTTGTATGTGCAGTGATTGACAATGTGAAAGCGGTTGATGGCATCTTGAACTTGTTCTTTTGTTATGAAACGTTGTCCAAGAAATAGAGTTCCTGCCGGAGAAACAAAAGACTCTCTGTCCAACGCATGACCATACTCTGGGTCTTGTTGTTGAATGTGATTTTCAAAGTTAAGAAAATGTTGCGTTGGGTTGTATGGTTCCATGAAGTTTGGTGCATGTGTAGGGATATGTGGTTGTTCGTCCTCTGAATCATCTTGGTGTTGACTGAGAATTTCATCTTCGTCTTCAACCTCACTAAAAGGATCAACGACTTCAATTGGGAGGCCAACAATTTCGTTCTCTTGTGTGGGTAGTTCTTCGTTGATGTTGGTGGAAGACCCACTTAGCAGTTGGGTAAAAGGGATGTAGTCATTATGTGTGGGTATTTCTGGGTCAGTGTTTGAGAAAGCTTGGTAGGGTAAGGGTGAAATTTTTGGTGAGTGTGTGTTGGGGTATGAAGAAGAAGAAGTTTTAAATGAAACAAAAATTTCAATACCACATAGACTTGAGTTTGAATCATGAACATCGAACATGGCCTCCACGTCGTCATCATCTTTCAACTCAATAGCAATGAAGTTGTTGATCCCAACTCCGAGTCTAGTTGGACAGTGAAAATGGATGGTTGCTACATTTTCGTGGGGTTCTTTCTCCAATTTCTTGTGGATCAACTTCTTTAACCTTTGTAGAGAAATTCCTCTCTTTAAAGGAACAAGTTTTGCAGTCCCAGTATTGAAGGTAACTCCCTCCATGGGACATGGGTTCATGAAACCATCATAGTGGACAATAGTAGACACTACACTCATTTTAGGAGTGTGGAACACAAAGAAGACTAAAGGTAAGAAGAAGAAATAATGCAAATAGCTTCAGAGATTTAGGAGTGTGCAATGTGAGAACTTCAAAGAATGAAAGTGGTCTATTTATAATGAAGTCCATTGGTTTGAATCCAATGCTCCCTCACATGGTTTCTGACGCACACAAAACCCAAGCAAAGTGGGTGGGTCAACATCTCTTTAAATATGTTTAGATTTTTCTGCTTTTGTCTAACCCAATGCAGGGAATCCAAGATTGGAATCCTAACTTAGGTGGGTAACTCAACATTGGATTCTTTACTTGTGTGCATCAGAAAGACATGGGAATCCTGACTTGGGTGGGTAACTCAGCATTGTAAATAGTTGCAGGTTTCCTCGCTCAAGCGATGGATTTCTCGCTCGAGCGAGAATTGACCACAGCTAAATGTCCAACGCAGTTAACCACATAATGCAACTTGGATCACCACATATTTCAATCACTTCTCGCTCAAGCGAAAGTACCTGTCGCTTGAGCGATAATTGACCCGAGATTTTAGATAGCGGTTCTACAACTAACCGCTATTAAAAGTATATTTTAGATAGCGGTTAACGTGGAACCGCTATTATATGTCGATTATTTTAAAATTATGATCGATTAGTTCACATTATAATCAATTATAAATTTCTTCGCTCAAGCGATGGATGTCTCGCTTGAGCGAGAATTGACCACGGTCCAATTATATATGTGTCACTTTTAAGAGCGGTTAATATTTTCACCGCTATTAAAAGTGAACATATAATAGCGGTTCCACGTTAACCGCTATCTAAAATATATTTTTAATAGCGGTTAGTTCTAGAACCGCTATCTAAAATCTTGGGTCAATTCTCGCTCAAGCGACGCGTACTTTCGCTTGAGCGAGCAGTGATTAAAATATGTGGTGACCCAAGTTGCATTATGTGGCTAAACGTCCAACGCAGTTAGCCACATAACGCAACTTGGGTCACCACATATTTTAATCACTTCTCGCTCAAGCGAAAATACTCGTCCCTTGAGCGAGAATTGACCGGAGATTACCCTTTGTTACAGATTTCCTCGCTCAAGCGAAGGGTTTCTTCGCTTGAGCGAGAATTGACCCGAGATTACACATTTGTTACAGATTTCCTCGCTTCGCTTGAGCGAGAGTTCATTGCGCGAAATAATCGATCATAATATAAAATAATCGATTATTTTAATACGTAAACAGTAAAGAGTGCTAGTTATATAAATAATGTTCCAGATGTGCTATTTTAGAAAATATTTTTAAAAATAGTATTATTTATGAAAAAAAAGTCATATTTAGTCTAATGAACTGGGAAAAAAAAAAAACTAACCAATTTTTTATTTTGTTTTTGACAAAAATAATGAGAAGAACACTGGAATTATAAGAATAGAATAAACAAAAAAACAATATTAAATGTACACTTGTATTTTACTATCCCAATTGCACCCCTTCAATCCTATATAATTCTTCAACTGAATATATGTAATTCAATTAAAGTGAAACAGATCGTTTAAGCAATTGTGAACTGGAAGATAAAATAGATGTGTGTTAAAAATGTGTTTAGGAAACCTTTTTCATAAGTATTTTTAAATTAAAGGTAAAATATTTTTTTCATAAATTAAAATTAACTTACATATAAGTTAACTTGTAAAAATATGTTATATAATTTTGTACATATTAAATTTTTAATGTATGTAAAATATAATATGATAATTTATTAAGAACTTTTTTTTATAGTATTTATGAAAAAATTTCTCTAACATGTCCTACATCTTTTTCTATTATAAATATAGACAAGGTATATGTTTACCTTACTAATATATATTTCGAAGCAAAGTCTTGTAAGTATAAGTGAAAAGGGAATTTAATAAAGAAGAGTCAAACATAATAATTCAATAAAAAATTTGACGAAGAAGAGTGAAACAGGAAGCAAAATGTATGCTTATAAATAAATGTTTGGAGGACTAAAACTACCAGATGTGGTTGAAGAAAAAAATGGGTCTCAAACAATGGAATTACGAGCAAATGAAAGGAGTCTTCTCTTCTACCTTCTATCTCTCTCTCTCCTTTTTCATCACTGCTCTCTTCTTGTTTAAGCTCGCAAGAAGCTCCAAACCCAAAACCAATCTGAATCTGCCTCCATCTCCCCCAAAGCTACCATTCATTGGCAATCTCCATCAGTTTGGCACACTGCTGCCACATCGATCTCTTCGAGATCTCTCTCTCAAATATGGTGATATGATGATGTTGCAGCTGGGGCAGATGCAAACTCCAACCCTTGTGGTTTCATCTGTAGATGTGGCCACGGAAATATTGAAAACTCACGACCTAACCTTTTCGGACCGACCCCAAAACACCGCTGCAAAAATCTTACTCTATGAATGCACAGACGTTGGCTTCTCAGTCTATGGAGAAAAGTGGAGACAGAAAAGAAAAATATGCGTGCTTGAACTTCTAAGCACCAAAAGGGTGCAATCATTCCGTCACATCAGGGAAGCAGAAGTTGCGGAGTTGGTGAACAAGCTACGTGAAGCTAGCTCGAGTGGTGCAAGTTGCGTGAATCTAACTGAGATGATTATGTCAACATCAAACAATATTGTGTGCAAATGTGCTTTTGGAAGGAAGTTTGGAGAAGATGGTGACAAAAGAGTGAAAGAGTTAGCAAGGGAAACTATGATTCATCTCACAGCATTCACAGTGAGAGATTACTTCCCTTGGCTGGGTTGGGTTGATGTTGTCACTGGAAAAATTGAGAAATACAAGGCCACTGCTGGAGCAATGGATGCTTTATTTGATGAGGCAATTACAGAACGTTTGAGGGCGAAAAGGGAAGGTGAACACTCCAAAAGGAAAGACTTCATGGATATCCTCCTCCAACTTCAAGAGGATGACATGCTGAGCTTCGAGCTCACCAAAAATGACCTCAAAGCACTTCTAGCGGTATCGATTACTTCCTTTCACTCTCAAACAATTCACACCTTTCTCGTCAAATAATCCTTACTATATTAATATAATAAAATTGGTTGCTACTATTATTTTTTATTTTTTATCGTAAAATAATTAAGTCTTAAAATAGCTTCTTCTTCTTCTTCTTTTATCGATGTATTTTTTTTACAAGATCTTATTTGCTAATCATTATATTCGTTTGTCAAAATATTATCAATAAAGTGAAAACGTTAACCAGAAAATTACAAAAATTTATAAGGGCGGCACATAAACCCATTCTATTTGGTGTTGGACGGTGACATATCTTGTACTATGGTTTGACCTTATATTTTGGAAATTTTTATAATACACAAATACTTAAAAAAAAAATCATTATTGGATACATTTTTTTCCCTAAATCTCTTCTCTTATTACATCATATTCCCTATAAATTTTTATTATTTTTTCTTTTATTTTCTGTCTCTAATCGTAGATAGACATTTTGAGTGTCTATGAAATATTTCCACAGGGATTAAGCAGCTTTTTTAATTTAAATTAATAAAAAAAATACTTTTTTAAGGTAATCAGATCAGAGCCGTGTTGTTTTATACAACTAAACTGGTATATATGCTATAGTTTTTAATTTTCAATTTTTTTACAGTATCTAATATTTTTTAATAAAAAATTTAAATTTCTACTGAACCGCGGAACTTATATGTTTGCAAGGGTTTACCATGCATTAAATTGATTGCCATTTATGAGATGCTTATACTTTCATTAAGTGAACAAGGTTTTTTTCTCTGAAGAGAAGTTTTTCAGACCATTTGAGATTTTTCTAACACCCCTGGAGGAACATTTGTTAGAATGATACATCGTTATCCATGGTTAAGCTTTTGACTTTCCTGGAAAAACATCATCTTTAATTTATTCATTATAATTTCTGAAAGATAGAATGTAAAGTATGTAGGAAGTTATTATAAAATTAAAGGCTTTTCATTGTTAAAGAAATTTGATGGAAATTTTGACTTGTATTATTTTAGGACATGTTTGTGGGAGGCACTGACACAACTTCATCGGCGTTAGAATGGGCTATGTCAGAGCTTTTAAGAAATCCAACTGTAATGAAAAAAGTACAAGAAGAAGTGAGAAGAGTTGTAGGTCATAAATCAAATGTAGAAGAAAAGGATATTCATGAAATGCATTACTTAAAGTGCGTAATCAAAGAAACTCTAAGAATACACCCTCCAACTCCTCTTTTGGCTCCTCGAGTAACAATGTCCGATGTAAAACTGAAAGGATATGATATTCCAGCAAAAACAATGGTCTATATCAATTCATGGGCAATGCAAAGGGACCCCAAATTTTGGGAAAATCCAGAGGAGTTCATGCCAGAGAGATTTGAAAAAAGTGAAGTTGATTTTAAAGGTCAAGAAGAATTTCAATTCGTTCCATTTGGTTTTGGGAGAAGAGGATGTCCTGGAAGGTACTTTGCCATTGCTTCTATGGAGTGTATCCTTGCTAACCTTCTTTATTGGTTTGATTGGGAGTTGCCAGAAACTGATACCCAAGATATAATAGATATGGACGAGGTATTTGGACTTATTGTCTCAAAGAAACTACCACTTCTCGTTAAACCAAAAACCTTTTCATTTTAAGCCAATTTCTAAATGCTTTTGTTGCAACTTATCTTCACTTGTGTATGGTGTTGCTCTCTAAATAATTTTAGCATTGTAATGTTGTCAAATTTATGAAGACAATAAATTCAGGCACGTGTCATGCGGTTGTAATATGTTTGGTTTTTCATTAAATAAAGATAAATTTGGATAAATTCTATGATATTATTATCGACAATTTCTTTATCTCTCTCCTTGGTTTTAATTTTTATTTGTTAATAATCTCATTCAGTTGCTGGCCAAAGAACAATAATACTATAACTCTTGGATTTCTATGGACACTGAGGATTCCTCATAGTATTGTCAAACAAATTATAAAATGTTTTAGGAATATATATAACAGTAAATTGAATAAATATCAATAATTTGATAATTGTTTAAAATGATAAATATAAAATCGCCTACTTTTAAAAATATATAACATCTTTAAAAAATTAAAGAATAATAAAATTTGATAATTCATATGTATAGAGAAAGGCTACTTGATAAAGATAAATTATATGATTGTTGTGGTGTTTGAATCAACCCATATCTGCAACACTACACTACGTAATAATGTGATCATTTGACCTACTTAAGTAGGGTTCTACTATATAGTATAGTCAGCTATGGCAAATGGCAAAAGTAGGGTTCTACTATATTTTATGCTGATTGTGGTGTGATATATATAGATCTAAAATTCAAGGCCTATAAAGCGAACCTGAGTTAAAACTCATACCACTTTCATCCAATTCTTATGTTGCCGTATATACACATTCCTTTTAAAGACATTTTTATAATAGGGAATTATATAAAATCATCCACAAATTAATCCATGATTTTATTTTCATAATCACAAATTATTAACATGTATATAAACAAGTGTAGTCATCAAGCATTAACTTCTAAGTTATTAAGATACTTCGCTAACTACAACCAACAAACACAAGGAAGCAGCTTCTACAAAGTAAGACTAGAAATAAACACTACTACAAATAAGGTTTTTCACGTCGGTTCTGGAAGGCCTTCAACGGCGGTTCCGAAGCCGACGTTATATCGGCGACGTTGAAAGTGTCGGTTCTATTTAACCGACGTGGAAAGTCTGATTTTAACTTTCCACGTCGGTTAAATAGAACCGACGTTGAAAGTCGGGACTTTCAAATCGAAATTTTTCTCTCTTTTATATTATATTTTTATTAGGTCCCTCTCTCTTTTATATTATATTTTTATCCAAATTAATTTTTTGTCAGCTGACAGGATTCGAACCCGAGTACCTTAGTGTTGGAGGTCGATACTCCAACCACTAAACTACTCGAATTTTTTGATAATAACTTACAAATAAATTATATTTATATACAAATAAATATATATCCGTGTAAATATATAAATATATAAATACAAATATATTTATATATTTTGATATATTTATATAATTATATATTTATATGTTGGATGTGAGGCACGCTCGAAGGTGAAAGTGTGTCGAGTGAGTTTTCAAAATTTGATGTCAAATTTGTGAGCGAGTCTCTTTATATGGGTTTGTAATTTAATGACAGAATATAATATTTATAATTTATTAATGATATAAAATAAATATGAGAAACGCATCATTCGCTCAAGCGAAAAATACCAATTTTCGCTCAAGCGAGGCTTGAACGAGTGAATTTCCGTGAGTTTTAACGTATTTTCACTCAAGCGAGAGTCAATCTCACTTTCACCCTCGAACGCGCCTTCACATCCAACATATAAATATATAACTATATAACTATATAAATATATATAAATATATCAAAATATATAAATATATTTGTATTTATATATTCTATATTTATATATTTACACGAATATATATTTATATGTATATAAATATAATTTATTTGTAAATTATTATAAAAAAATTATAGTAGTTTAGTGGTTGAAGTATCAATTTTCAACTCTAAAATACTTGGGTTCAAAAAATCATGTTAGTGACAATTCTCTAACTTAAGTAAATTTTTGGCTGAAAAAAAATAAAAACACTTTCCGAGAAAATATATATATTTACACGGATATATATTTATTTATATATAAATATAATTAATTTGTAAGTTATTATTAGAAAATTACAGTAGTTTAGTGGTTGGAGTATCAACTTTTAACTCTAAAATACGGGTTCGAATCTGTCAGTGACAATTCTCGAACTTAAGTAAAGTTTTGGCTGAAAAAAAATAAAAACATTTTCCGAGAAAATATATATAAATAAATATATATTTACACGGATATATATTTATTTGTATATAAATATAATTAATTTGTAAGTTATTATCGAGAAAATTACGAGTAGTTTAGTGGTTGGAGTATCAACTTTCAACTCTAAAATACTTGGGTTGAATCTGTCAGTGACAATTCTTGAAATTAAGAGAATTTTTGGGTAAAAACACATTCAACGTCGGTTCATCGCGAAGCCGAGCGTTGAATGTCTAAATTAAAAGACTTTCAACGTCGGTTCATCTAGAACCGACGTGGAAAGTGCTTTCTACGTCGGTTCATCTAGAGCAGACGTAGAAAGCACTTTCCACGTCGATAACCAACCGACGTTGAAAGTGTATTTAACGTCTGCTCGACTTTAACCGACGTTAAATGGCAACGTTGAAAGTATATTTTGTAGTAGTGAAAATAAAATTTTACATTTGTTAATCCACACTTTTTGGATCATATATTCGACTTTGATGTCATTAAAAGAGACCATTTTTTGTCAACTTCAGGGGTGGAAGGTCACTCAATCTTCAATAAAGAAAGGAACAATCATAACTTTACCATCCTGGCAAGCATTGACAACATTATAACCAAAACAATACAAGTCTCCTCTCACCCTCATATAACTTTTGGAACATTATTATATCTAAAAACAAAAATAACAACCAACCTTTTGAAGACTAGCGGCAAATAACTTCGACAATAGATTGCATTCTGATTATATATATATATATATATATATATATATATATATATATATATATATATATATATATATATATATATATATATATATATATATATATATATACATATATAGAATGTGACTCTCAACTTGCTCTAAAAGCTTTCTCTGATGAGATTTTTGTGCCTTGACGGCTTTGGGCTAGATGGAGGATGCGCTTTGACTCTTTTCTTTTTATGGATTTTGATCTAATCTGTGGTCATTTTGTTTTTAATTTTTTTGGTTTCTTTTGTGTGGTATACTTAATGTGCTGCACCAATATTAAAAAAAAAAAAATATATATATATATATATATATATATATATATATATATATATATATATTCGACTAAAAGTGACAGATATTTTTAGTAAATAATTTTCAATTCAATCTGGTTAGAAAGTCCGATATGACGACTACTGATTTATCGTACCAAACAGCCACAAACTTTTCAATCTTGACAGTGGTGCATTGCCAGCATCTTCCATCAATTCACAGGCCAAGCCTTCTACCAATCCCACAAAAGATAAATGTAATAAACCTAATAAACAGATAAGATCAGTACAAACAGCAAAAGATACATCTGTGTTTGGCTATAAATGTTTGATGAACTCTGACACAGTCTGATACGGTTGAAGTTTACCGAAAGATCAAATATGGCTCCCAAACAGTGCCCTTTTGAACAAATGAAAGGAGTGTTCTCTTCCACCTTTTATCTTTCTCTTTTCTTCTTTATCAGTGTCCTTTTATTGCTTAAACTCACAAGAAAAAACAAATCCAAAACCAACTTGAATCAGCCTCCATCACCACCAAAACTACCAATCATAGGCAATCTTCATCAGTTAGGCACACTGCCGCATCGATCTCTTCGAAACCTTGCTCTTAAGTACGGTGGCATGATGATGTTGCAGTTGGGGCAGAGACAAACACCAACTCTGGTGGTTTCATCTGCAGAAGTGGCCATGGAAATCACGAAAAATCATGACATAGCTTTTTCGAACCGGCCTCACAACACTGCTGTCAAAATATTGTTGTATGGAGGCAAAGACGTTGGGTTTGAAGTCTACGGAGAAGACTGGAGGCAGAAAAGAAAAATATGCGTGGTCCAATTTTTGAGCATGAAAATGGTGCAATCGTTTGGTTTCATCAGAGAAGAAGAAGTTGCAGAGTTGGTGAGGAAGCTGCGTGAAGCAAGCTGCAGTGATGCGCCTTACGTGAATCTGAGTGAGATGATTTTGTCAACCTCGCTCAATATCATATATAAGTGCCTCTTCGGACGGCAGTATTCAGGAGACAGTGACGGAAGGGTGAAAAAGGCGGTGAAAAATATTATGATTCAGATTACAGCTTTCAGTGTGAGGGATTACTTTCCATTGTTGGGTTTTGTTGATGATCTCACCGGAAAAATTGGAGAGTTCAAGGCCACTTTTGAAGCCTTGGATGCTGTTTTTGATAAAGCAATCGAAGAACATTTGACAGCTAAAGCGCACTCCCAGAAGGAAACCTTCCTGAATATTCTCCTCCAACTTCAAGGCCATACCACGCTCACCAGAAATGATGTCAAAGCACTTATTATGGTATAATGCTTTCATTATATATTGTGATTTTTTTCCCCGCAAAATCATACTTTTTACTACCCAAATCCATATAACTTTAAAAAACAACCCCCTTTAAATATTATAATAATAATTTTAACTTTTTTTTTAATTTATTTTTATTAAATCTCTTTTATAATTATTATATTAATAAAATAAATTGTTTTTAAAATTATTATTTTTTATAATTGTCAAAATATCATGGTTCTTTTTTCCATCTTATACAATTTTTCCATCTAAATCAATTTTTATCAAGAAAATTGTAAAACATTACCAAAAATTAGCTTAGTTTTGAACTTGATTTTGATTTTTTTTAGGTTTGTATTTTTAATTTAAATATAATATTTGAAATATTAAATTAAATTATTGATATTAAAAAAATGTAAATATTGATATTATTAAAGAGATTGATATTTAATGAAAAATAAAATATCATAGCATAATTATATTTAAAAAATAAAATGTAAATATAACTTTATATAAACATTTTTACATTTTAGAATAATTTATTTTTTATATTTATTAACATAATTATATTATTTATTATTTATGATAATAATTATAATGATATTTAGTTTTTAAGATCATTAGATTTTATACGTGTATATAATATAATTATTTAGTTTTTTAATTGTTAAATAAATACTTTAAAAAAATATAAAGATAAGGGTAAAAATTAGATTTTCCGAAAATGGAATTGTAACTCTTTTTATGATACTAGATGAAAACATTGAGGTAGGCGTTTAAGAGAACATTTTTACATATTGTTATAATAATTTACTGTTTTTATCTATTTTCTTTGTATATCACATACTTTATTCTTTTGATTTTTTTTTTTTAAAAAACACTACTTTCTCTTTTATCTATCTATCTATATATATATATATATATATATATATATATATATATATATATATATATATATATATATATTATTGCCTTGAGTTATTACACCACTTTTTTTCTATATTCATTTTTCCATTCACTATACGTACACTATGGGGAATGTGATCGATGTCTTATTTTCTTTAAATGGTAAAGAATAATTATCTAAATCAATGAAAATTCTTTTAAGGTGTATGATAAAATATAATAATATTATAGCATATAAATAAGTTATTTTAATAATTAATTTAATATAATTAAATTAGATATTTCTCAATTTCTAATATTTAAAAGTAACTTCTAACTTAAACACTAATATTATTGCATGCATGTCTAATTACGGCACGTATACATGTGACTATAAAGATTTGAAATGATTCAATTTCCTCTTAGTAATTTATAGTAATAATCATCTACTTTTTTTATTTCGAATTAAAACAACACATATCATATCATATCATACAATTACATAATGGAAAATATATGATTTTGGTTTGATTTTGTTTTATTTTACTGCTAAAAAGAATCCGTAAATGATTGACAAATTTGTATTTCATAATTTTAGGACATGTTTATTGGTGCAACTGAAACAACTGCAGTAGCATTAGAATGGAGTATTTCGGAACTTGTGAGAAATCCACGCATAATGAAGAAAGCACAAGAAGAAGTGAGAGAAGTCGTGGGACATAAAGCTAAGGTAGAAGGAAAGGACATGAGTGGAATGCAGTACCTAAAGTGTGTAATCAAAGAAACTCTAAGGTTGCATCCACCTGCTCCTCTGTTGGCTGTTCGAGAAACAATATCTAGCGTGAAGCTGAATGGATACGATATTCCTGCAAAAACAATGGTATATATCAATGCATGGGCAATTCAAAGAGACCCAAAATTTTGGGAAAACCCTGAAGAGTTTCTACCAGAGAGGTTTGAAAGCAGTAAAGTTGATTTTAAAGGTCAAGATTTTGAGTTTATTCCATTTGGCATTGGAAGAAGAGGCTGCCCTGGAATAAATTTTGGACTTGCTTCTGTTGAGTATTTGTTGGCTAATCTTCTCTACTGGTTCGACTGGAAACTTCCAAACACTGAGCCACTAGATATGAGTGAGATATTTGGGCTCGTGGCTTCAAGGAAAACACCACTTAATCTTAAACCGATGATATATTAATGTCTTCTTGTATTTGGGCTAGATCCGTGTACTAACATTTCAAAACATGATAAGTTTTAGGTCTGTCAAATACTCACTCGTATAAAAAAGGCATTTTCTGTTTTTAACGTCGCCCTTTAGCATGAAGTAAATTCATGTCAGTTATCGAGATCCGAAGTTAATTTACGTTGAATTTATACTAAACAGACTTAAAAAATATCAAAAATTAAAAAATTTGGCTCAAATTTACGTCGCGTAAATTTGCTCCTTTTTTTTTTAAATTGGGTTTATTTTGTCCTACAACCAAAACCTACAAATATATATTATAACCAAACAATCCAGAGGTTTAAGTTTCTTTAGTTATGTAATTCAAAAATATAATATTATATATAATTCAAACTACATAATAAAATAATATAATACAAACAATAACCTACAAACTAAAATCTATTACAAACTAAAAGTTAATACAAACTAAAAGTTAGCACTGCTACAAATATGCCTTTCAACGTCGGTTCTATAAGGCTTTCAACGTCTGTTATACAACCGACGTTGTATCAAGCGACGTTGAAAGTATACACTTTCAACGTCGGTTCTCTATACCCGACGTTGAAAGTTTTGCCTTCAACGTCGGTTATTCATAAGCGACGTTGAAAGTGTATACTCGTCGCTCAAGCGAGTACACTCGTCGCTCAAGCGAAATTGAACCGAAAGACCCCTTTGTTTGAAGCTTTCGTCGCTTAAGCGAGTACACTCGTCGCTCAAGCGAGATGGAACCCGAGAGTCCCCTTTGTTTGAAGCTGTCGTCGCTTAAGCGATTAAACTCGTCGCTCAAGCGAGATGGAACCCGAGAGTCCCCTTTGTTTGAAGCTTTCGTCGCTTAAGCGAGTCCACTCTTCGCTCAAGCGAGATGGAACCCGAGAGTCCCCTTTGTTTGAAGCTGTCGTCGCTCAAGCGAGTACAGTCGTCGCTCAAGCGAATACGGGTTTACTACGTCGGTTATGGTATGAACCGACGTAGAAAGTCTATTTTTTTTTTAAATGGACGATTTGTTTATACAGGGTACCCAATGTTTGTATATATACATACCTGCAAATTTGAATACAACCCAGGCAGACAATGTACAAGATATAAACAATTGAATGTGCATCCAAAAATAAAATTGTATCCAAAATTATTGTGTATTCAACTACTTATCTACCAAATACACTAACTACTAATCTAACTAATAAACTAACTAGTAAACTAACTAGTAAAGTAACTAAACTAACTACTAAACTAACTACTAAACTAAGTACTAAATTAATAACTAAACTTGCCTACTTCTAACTTTAACAAACTTATCGGCCCATGTGTTTCTAATATCGTCAATGGTCTCTATGGGCAATGCTTCCCTGTCTGAAAATACCTGTTACAAGAAAAAAGATAATTTAACAGAGTATCCAATGACACAATACTGGGTCTTTTATTGAATACTAAATTTAAGCAAACCTGATTCCATGTATCCTCAATCTTGCTAACAACAATCAGCCACATCCGAGTGCATAACATAATATCCGCACTCATAAGATCTTGGTTGCCTATTACACTACAAAAAATAATATATTAATTTGACATATAAAATGAATGATATAATACATAAATATAAAAGGACTTACATTAACAAAAATCCAATTTGGAGTCATGCTTTTGCTTGTGTGTACTCCATCAATTGTATTGCAAACCTTAAATGCACTTGTGCAATACAAGATATAATGAAACAATTAAGTAACAAAACAAATAATAATTGTTTAAATTATTATAAGAATGTGTACCTGTTTACAATGTTTTTAAGATCTGCATCAGGTTTCTTGCCCAGTGAGCAGAACCAAGCCACAACATTCTGCTTTGGGCAAACAACCAACAACTGCCAATGATTTCTGCTTACATTACAAAAAGTTAGGATAATACAATACACTATAAAATTTAATACGAATAATTTCATACGCTTAAATACTTACTGATGGTGGTAAGCACCCAAGTAAACTTTCTTCCTTGACTTCATCATCCAATTTTGGATGTATCTTTGAACTTCTTCTCTCTTGTTTCCCGATTTTTGTATGGATTGGGGCTCAAAAAATCCATACACATCTTGGGTGCGTTGCTCCTCCGACAATTCATTCATCATCCTAAAGTAGCCAGTTCAATGTACATTAAATATGACGATAACTTCAAATAACATAATTAGTAAATAAAAATAAATACTTACATTGTCCAAAATTGTAACACTGCTATGTTTAGACACTGATTGTCAACTGCTATCAACACAGAGCATCGGTGTGCTCAATGTAAAGGGGAAAGTTCTTATTGTCTACCCCTAACTTATCAACATTCCACTTCACTTGAAAAGATTGAATATACAAGCTGTGGGACAACGAGATAGTAGTTGAAAAATTGGATTTTCCGGGACATCTACTTCCTTCCTTACCTTTACTAGTATGGGAAGTAGGAACCAGTTTAGGCAACCGGGGTGGCTTCCGAACATCCTACATAAAATAACATTGACTTGAGAAATAATAAAAAACAGTACCAGACTACATATGATAATTAACAGAAAGTATATGCAAACCTTTTTCAAAATAGGCCCGATTAGATGTCTAGGCCATGCAATGAAGGTCCGGAGGGCCTGTCCCACTCGTCATCACCTCGTACGTGGGCACAGTGTACAAGAGCATAAGCATCTCGAACCTCTTCAATGACCACTTTGGCCAAGTTAGGTGCTAAAGGCACACTATGAATTGTAGAGGCCCCCTCTTCAATTGAACCAACCGCCACCAATCGTGGTTCGGATCCATCCTCATCAACATAAAATTCACACTCGACTCGATTACACAAAAATAAGACATTAATTATTTAATATGCACATGAATTTTTGTCATTAAGATATCATCCACACATACCCGAGTGGTCGATGTCTCGCAACAACAACAACAACCTCCCGATTAGTAGCAGGAAGGTCTTGATCAGCAGTATTTGGCTCAAGCACAACTATCCTTAGTGCTAACTCGTGCGGCAGATGGAGGAGGAACATCCATAGGTGGGTGGGTAGGCCGTGTGACACCTATGGATGCTAGACTTGAACCAAATACACGCATCATCTCCTCCCGAACTCGTGCGGTAATGGCTGGTGTCGGCGTCGCTGTCGGCTCTTCAACCATCGCTGGTCTCGGCTTCGTCGTTAGACTCTCCTCCAATCCGGCCATCTCCTGCCGGCTCAATGATGTTGTGTGGGTATGGTCCGATGATGGAGCTCCAAAATATGCTCGAATACCCACACCAGCTCCAACAGCACGAACACGCCCTGGGTGTTCTAGGCGTCCAATAGCGATGAGTTAATATATCTTCACGACCACCGGGAACGAATGTTCCCTGTTTATACTCGCTCCTCTAAAGAATCCTACAATTGAGCATTATATATTGTAAAAAAAATTGATGAATGACAAAGCATGGTTAATGAGGTTGAAAGAAACTAATTTGACTTACAATCCGCTCAGCAATCAAGCGGGCCTCCTCCGATGTCATTTCACCGAAGGGCTTTTGCCGAGCCCTCTTCCATTTTTCATGACGTTTTGGAGGAGATGGTGGGGAAATTTCTTCCTGGCTTACACCAGAAGAGGCTAACTCAGCTTCTCAGAGTTTAGCCTTCTCCTTCATCATGCGTTGCGTCAACAAATCATACCCCCCACGAGACAAACAGTGGGGGGCCACATTCAGCCTCTGAATCTCCTTTCCTTTTATTCGCTTCTCCTGCAACATAATATCATATTACAATGTGCTAAATTAATAAGACAATATGGAAATATTGTCTAATTCATCTAATTCATCTAATTCATCATCTTCTTCATGCATAACATCATTCCCTTTTGCTTGGAGTACCACTGACCATCTGTCATTACATGGATCAGTTACATAGAAAACTTGTTTTGCATGGTACGCCATTATGAATGGTTCCTCCTTATGTCCTATCTTCTTAAGGTCTATCAAAGTGAATCCCATTTCATCAGTTTGAACACCAGTATTAATATCAATCCATTTACATTTGAATATAGGAACTCTGAATTGAATGTAGTCAACCTCCCAAATCTCCTCAATCACTCCAAAGTAACTCATAGATGCCATAATTGGGTTCTTATCCTTTGAACTAGAAAAGTGCATGGATGTCGCCTCAATAGATACTCCACTATTTTGGACTGTACTTTTTTCATCTTGTAACTTTGTGTAGAATGAGTATTTGTTAATGTCATACCCAGTCCAAGTCACGACGTTCTGTTTAGGACCATGTGCTAGCCATTTCAAAGTATCAGATGCATTGTCCTCGGAAAAGATTTTTGTTTTAAACCAGCTAACAAAAGTATTATTATGTTCATTAACCAACCACCGCTCACTCATTTTGGGGTTGAGGGTCTTTTATCACTCCAACCACCGCTCACTCATTATGTTCAAAACTTCTAGTAACTCAGTGAAACTTTTATCACTCCAACCAAATTTGGCCTTCAAATTGACCAATCTCAATACAGCTGACAATCGCGTGAATGTTGTACATCCAGCATACAGAGGTATCTCTGAATCTATCTTCAATTTATCATAGACAGCAGCATGTGCTTGCAGAAAATTCTCTTGACTTACATCACGAATCATGTCTTCTATTCGATCTTCCATTGTCATATCCTCCTCTTCCTCAGCTTGTGTTACTATTGGTGTATCAATCACTTCACCATGCCATGTCCATAGGATATAATTCTTCATTATCCCATCACATAAAAGATGTTCCCGTATTGTCTCTAGTGTGTGTACTCTCCCATTAACGCAGTTAACGCATGGACAATACAATTTTCCATTAACCTTGGTGCCATTGTGTTCGGCAAATCGCAAAAATTCTTCAACTCCATTCTCATACTCTTGTGAAATACGACTTGCATTTACCCAACTTCGATCCATTTTGGAATTGGAGTCTACAAATGAGAAACCCATAAAACGATTAT